CCTCCAGGCTGTAGGTGCCTCTCAAGGCGGTGAAATCTCGGAGAGCTTCGGCAGCGCTGCTAACGTCCAAGTTGAGTTCCTGACAGAGGTGGTCGATGGCGGCCCGGACTGGGCACTGCCCGGCCCCATCTTCTCCAGTAGGGCCCTCCTCTTCCCCGGACATCTTAGCGGGTTCCCCCTCAGCCCAGCCCACCCACACAAACAGCAGTCCCCCCGGCCGCACCCACAATCCTCTGCGCTGAGCGCGCCAAAACGGCAGGGGAGGTGTCCACCTTCCGCCCCTCCTTCTGAGGGAAAGGTTCCCAAATCGGAATGAAAGGTGCGGGAAGGAGAGGAGGTCCTACCACACCCTTAGACGCGACCACACATTTCTCCCTCCCCCTCCCCGCTGCCAGGAGTTGTAGTTCTTCTCGACCCGTGCCAAATACTACGGAACAACTATCCGCGTGTTCGGGGGACTGCGTGTAGACGGAAAGGAGCCGAATTCGGTCCCTCCCTTGGACATTAGACGAGTCTCGTCTTGCACTAAACACACACACACACAACTAACTAATCCCTCCCTTGGAAATTAGACGAGTCTCGTCCTGTGCTAAACGCACACACACAACTAACTAATACAATTTTCAGGAAGTGGTAGTGCTGGCTTGTTACATCAAAAGTAAAGCTCTTGGACCTCTCGAAAGACTAACAAAGGTAATGTGGTTCCTGTTTCGACTTTCTTACGATAAGCAGACTGCAAAAGGAACAAGTCAGATGAGTATAAATATCCCTTTGCGCTACATAATGTGCTAGACGATGTGTATTCTTTAGTACTTATAATACATATAAGTATGCTGTGGAAAGAAGGAAAAGCATCTTGGTTAGCAGGTCAAATGACAGCATCCTTAGAAATTACTGGTTTTCTTGTGAAGCTTTAAAGGAATAAAAAGTAATTTCCTCAATGCAATATGAGGTTATATAACTATGAGGCTAGAAACTAGCCTAGAGTCTGTTGAATAAAAGATGCTTGGATTTGAAATGCATTTTTCACCCAAGGTAAAGGTAAAGGTAAAGGTAAAGGTTCCCCTTGACAATTTTTGTCCAGTCGTGTTCGACTCTAGGTGGCGGTGCTCATCCCCGTTTCCAAGCCATAGAGCTAGCGTTTGTCCGACGACAATCTTCCATGGTCACATGGCCAGTGCGACTCAGACACGGAACGCTGTTACCTTCTCACCGAGGTGGTCCCTATTTATCTACTTGCATTTGCATGCTTTCGAACCGCTAGGTTGGCGGGAGCTGGGACAAGCGACGGGCGCTCACTCCATTGCGTGGATTCGATCTTACGACTGCTTGGTCTTCTGACCCTGCAGCACTGGCTTCTGCGGTTTAGCCCACAGTGCCACCACGTCCCACCTTTTCACCCAAGAGCTATTTATAACTGGGGGGAAAAATCTTATTGACTTGTTTCAACACATCAGAGGTTTAATATAACAGCCTGGCCTAATGATTAAGCAAGGCTTATGCAGAACCTTACACTTATATTAATATTTTCAAGCTTTCCAGAGGTGTGATGTATATGACACTCCAGATATAAGTAGACTACAGACTCCATCATACTTGGCAATGGACTGTGTTGCCTGTACTGTGGTGGTTCACCTGGCTTTTTAATCTCATTTGTGATCCCATTCGCCCAAAGGTCTCCATCCCCTAATTCCTTATTGTATTTACGTTTACCAGTTGAAAACCTGCAGGCACTCTTAGTTATTCAATTTATCCTACATATAAACCAAAGATGGAAGACAGCAGATACTTCTGCAAATAAACATGCTTCTTTCAGCTTATTTCTCCCATCACAGGAGCATCTGGACAAACTAGAAGACAACCCCCAAACAGAAATGTTAGTATAATTATCAAATCAAATGGCAATGTAGAAAACTTATTGCAAATTGTGAAAAAGCAGATCTCCAGGGCCACTTCTGGCCTAAGTCTCTTATGGTTCAGTTAAACATAATATGGATGACTACATATTCTAGATTGCTAAGAAAGAACCTGCACTGCATAATTGGATATACAGTAGCCTGATTGCAATAGTGCTTGTAATTAAATGGCTATCTTGGCTATCAAAGCAGCAAATTTGGGGGAATAAAAATTCCAAGTAAGCTTTTGGAATTAGGGATTATGTATAATGGGAGTGAGAGATAATAATAATAACCCTGAGGGGCTTATCTTCCAGTGTCATATCTTTTACCCTTTTGTTTCTGTTCATGGGGTTTTCTTGGCAAAGATACTGGAGTGGCTTGCCAGTTCCTGCTCCAGGTGGATCGTGTTTAGTCAGAACTCTCCACTATGACCTGTCCGTCTTCGGTGTCCCTGCACGCCACAGCCCATAGCTTCTCTGAATTACTCAAGCTCCTTCGCCACGACAATGCAACAGTTCGTGAAGGGGAAGGGCTTGCATAGTGACCACTTAATAATCTGTTAGAATTTTCCCTGGGATTGATGTCAGGCTGACTGGTCTGTAGTTCCCAGGTTCCTCCTTTCTGCCCTTTTTGAAAATAGGGACATTAGCCCTCCTCCAATCATTTGGCACCTCTCCCAAGGAACAACAGGTAAGTTTGGCCTTGGAGTTCAAAATGAAGCAGGGCAAAGGCTAATAGAGTTTTGTCAAGAGAACAAGCTGGTCATCACAAACACTTTTCCAACAGCACAAGAGGTGACTCTACACATGGACATCACCAGATGGGCAATACTGAAATCAGATTGATTACAGTGGTGCCTCGCATAACGAGCGCACCGTTTAACGACGAATCTGCATAGCAATCTATTTTTTTAGATCGCTAATGCGGTCGCATTATGATGTTTTAATGGGTAAAACATTGCATTGTGATGATCGGTGTTTCGCTTACCGATCTTCGCATTGCGCTGTTTTTTGAACAGCTGATCGGCAGTTCCAAAATGGCCGGCGAGTGCCCAAAATGGCCACTGCAACCATTTTCGCGCCCTACCCTCGCTTACTGAGGGCGCGAAAATGGCGGCGCTATGGAGGAACTTCGCTCAACGGTGAGTCTGGGCCCCATAGGAATGCATTAAACAAAGTTTAATGCGTTCCTATGGCTTTTTCCGTTCCATTTAGCAATGTTTCCTCATAGCAACGATTAATCCGGAACGGATTAACGTCGCTATGCGGGGCACCACTGTATGTTATCTGCAGCCAAAGATGGAGAAGCTCTATACAGTCAGCAAAAACGACCTGGAGCTGATTGTGGCTCTGATCATCAGCTTCTTGTAGCAAAATTCAAGCTTAAACTGAAGAAAGTAGGAAAAACCACTGGGCTACTCAGGTATAATCTAAACCAAATCCCTTAGGAATATACAGTGGAAGTGAAGAACAGATTTAAGGAACTAGATTTGGTGGACAGAGTACCTGAAGAACTATGGATGGAGGCTCGTAACATTATATGGGAGGCAGCAACAAAAACCATCCCAAAGAAAAATGCAAGAAAGCTAAGTGGCTGTCCAACGAGGCCTCACAAATAGCAGGGAAGAGAAGGGAAACAAAATGCAAGGGAGACAGGGAAATATAAAGAAAATTGAATGCAGATTTCCAAATAATAGCAAGGAGACACAAGAGAGCCTTTTTAAATTAACAATGCAAAGATATAGAGGAAAATAATAGAACGGGAAAAACAAGAGATCTGTTCAAGAAAATTGGAGCTATTAAAGGAAACTTTTGTGCAAAGATGGACATGATAAAGGACAAAA